TTTTGTTGAGGGTGTATGCTAAAAGATCCATCTTTTCTGCTTTCAGTGGCCTCCTGGACATTTCAAAGAAGCCATTTGGTCAGTCCCACCTATGTGAAATACATAAAAACGCATCTTACCCTGGTGCTAGGATATTATCTTAACACCTCTGCCCAGTACAGCTCCTCAGACTATTAGAGAAGGGACCTGGTAAGGATGTATAGCTCTACTATCACTAAGAAGTACTATCATTTTTTGAGGCAAGATCAGACTCTCTTATTTTGTTTGTCCTGCTCTGTATCTTCCACCTTTCCTTATATGTGAAGCTCTCCACTGCTTGCAGTAGTACTAAGCCCTAACCATATCTGCCTGAACGGTTAATTGAACATTTTCCTTTCTCAGTTTATAGAGCTATTCATAGATTTATGAAACAAATCACCCTTCTTCCTCCATAGTTAAAACTAATCTCAGTAAAGACATCTCTCTGAGATCAGCAAATTATAATTTAATGAAATCTATTGAAAATTTCAGTTGCGCTAAACAAGGTCAATGTTTGGAAAGAACGAAATGTCACTCAGAAATGGAGATCAAAGTAATTCCCTTCTATTCCTGCTGCTACCATAGAGACCAAGGGAGGGGGAAGAAGGGGAAGAAGAGATTTAACAGACTTAATTCTTCCAGAAATTTATAATTAACTACAAGGGAAAAGGGACAATTACCATATTTCTAAAGAATAAAGGAGAAAAAAGTTGAGCTTTTGACAAGATATAATTACAAGACATTACATATGCAATGCACATTGGTTTGGTCTGTGTAATTTTCTTGAGCCCCCCTCCCCCCCCCCAAAAAAAAAATGTTTTTTTTTCCCTAGAAAAGGCAACACGTCTCATCAGTTTACATTCATATGTTTGAAATTCAAAAGCCAGAGGCTTACAATAATTGTTCCAAAATTTAGCATTGGTAAATAAAGATTTGAAATAAATATTCAGTTATACTCCCCATCTGTCTGACATCTATGACTATATTCTCCAGCTAAGATAAATGGTAATCAATGAAAAGGATCCTCCTGCTCTTCCAAGACTATAGTTTAGCCAGCAGCCAATCCATAGTCATCAAAACTGTCCTCAAGTACCACTTCAGAGTAGAGTTAACTAAATTGCATGTAAATTGCATGGATTCAGCACCCTTACACGTGTAGGATCTGGCAAGAGAACACCACAGTTTAAAGTGCTCATCAGGACCTAATAATGATTATAGAAAAAGATTTTGATTTTAGCTAAATATGAATCTCTAGGGAGAAAATCATTATGTTTCCTTTGTTTGGGGTTTGTTATAGCCTGGAAATTCAGCAAAAAAACTTTGCTACCCAGTTTATGATTTTAAATTGCAATGATTCAAACCCTGAAGTATTGCAAAGAAAAAAACAACAAATGTTGCCCAGATCCATTCAGCACTATTAGCAGTATGCAGACACATAGAAATGCGGTTATTTTTTGTTTCCTGTCCAGCTAAATGTAAGTCAGATCTTTATCTAGTGTAGCTGTTAAAACTAGCTACTTGTTTTGATGAGATTATACCAGTCTACAACACCCAAAACACTGGCTCAACCTTAGTATTTGTATCTTGCTTTACCATTTCCCTTTATATCTATTGGGTTGCACTCTCTTGCCTAAATGTGGGATTCCTTCACACTTGGGGAATCCTCAGTATCCTACAGGGACACAAAATTTGGCCCTACCTTTCCTGAGTACAGCATGCTATCAACAGGGATTTATAATGGCATATCTAATGCAGACCAGCAGGCAGTTTCAAAATTAACTAGTCCTGCCATAGAATCTACTCACTCAGACTTACAGTGATGCCGCTGAAAAGGATGAGCTCTGAAATTTGCCCTACCTTTCATGCTAGGATTATGGGGGAAGAAAGGAAAGCTAACGCTGAGAAAAAGACCAGCCTAGGAGGCGCATATTTTACGAGTCTTCGTGGTTGTGCTTCAGAATGGCATAGCTCTACTGGAATTCTCATTTCACGCTGTGAAGTGGGGTGGTGAGTGTGTGGAGTGGGAGAAGCCCACTCAGGTTAACTGAACGCTCAGATAGTGGTCTGGTAGTGGAAAGCAGGAGTTTATTATTTTCCGCACTCACTGCCTGTATCGAAACTTCTGCTAGCACATCTGTCAGAGTTTTGCCTTGAGTGTATACACTGGTCTCTCCTGTTCTAAATATATTGCCAAATCAGCAGAAGAACATACGATAGACAGATGTTACTGGCTCCTGGCAAATTGGCCAGTCAGAATTGAGCATGACTAACTCTGGGTATGTTTTAGCAAGATAAACAAGCGTATGACCCTGCTTCCCAACACCATCAGAAAATATAGTCTTTTCCTTCCATTCCTCTTTCATTCTTTTACATACTTCAAATAAATCCTTACAAAGGGTGCTACAGGGGCAGTCATGAAGAGAGAGCTATTGCTAATTTTCCAAACCAGAACTGAGCTTTTTAAAAAAGCAAAAACAAAAAAAGCCCAACTTCTTCACTAGTCCTGCTAGCAAAACTGGCAGTTCTAAGCAAACCAGGGCTCACCACTGAGAATGACAGAAAGCTCATGTAATAGTCGTACTCCCAGTACAGAAACCTAGCCGTTGTTGAATGGACTGAGTCTTTCATTATCTATAAAAAAACCAACAGATATGTTCATTTCTCCACTCATATGAAGAATTACTTTTTCACTTATTTTTCTGGTCCCATAGAGGTCAGTCACACTTTAATTAAATACGGAACCTCTCTAGTGCATTATCAGGCTTAAACCACTATAAAGAGTTAAATTGAAGCCTCTATGGAGTAATTTTTACAAGATTTTCAACATTTGGACCACCAAAGTTTATTTTTGTAGCTAACAAAATCAACAAGGTCAAATTGGGCATTCTGCCCACAGTCTCAAGATCTGAAGGCAAGCAGTGCTCTGGTTTACAGGCTAGGAGAAGACAGGATCACATGGTTTTCACATAGTGTTGCCAGTCCTCAGTGTTACAAAATAAGGAGGCAGGCAGCAAACAACAAGTGATTTCAGTTTAGTGAATATTTTTTTTTAATTGGTGTCTATTCTCTGAGTCTTTAGCATACATCTGTTTCATCTTTGCAAGCTCCTCTCAAAATGCAGAAACTTTTTGACTGTAATATCTGGGATTTTAAGCAAAACCATAAAATTCAGCTCCAAAACAGAACAAGAAGTGACACCATGGGTAACCATCACTGACAATTCTTAGTCCCTTTACTAATATCAAGGATAATAAAACATTAGAGTAGACTGCCAAGGAAGTTTTGAAAATTCTATCATAAAAAACGATTTTATCGATTTTATCCCTGCATGTCACAGACGATCAGATGGCCAATTGCATTTTTACTCAATCCTTTTTTTTTTATGGTGCTGGGACTGTCAGCTGCAAGTATCAAAAAACCTGAACATGACACCTTGCAATCATGAGATTTAAAAATCAGAAATAGATTGTGGCTTCTCTTCATTTATCTTCTGGGTTTAAAACCTTTAGAGTTTACACTTCTGAGCTCTCCTTTGTAACGATGAGGGCCAGAAATGTAATGACGAGAGCCAGAAAGTTTTTTTCTTTTTTTTTTTTTTTGAGTGAAAAGCCACATTGACAGTAAGAGCAGGGGGTTTCAGCAAAGCAGCCCCTATTATTGTGAAATTTGTTTGGCAACACCGGGTTATCTATTTTGTTTTCCAACAACTACAGCTACTGTTGCATTCATAATACTCCAAAGGGCACAAGGATGGAAGGAGATCTGATTGCAAGTGGAGAGAACAGCGTGTTGCCTCTAACTATTGGGAGGCACAGTAGGAATGTTCTTCCTTTTCAAAACGTCCTGATACACCTGCTGGGATGGAGTCTTGACCTGAACTTTTATTTATACTGAATTCTTCCTGAAGATAAAATAACGCCACAAAATACTGTGTTTTATGGAAGCAAGAAAGAAAGAAACTGCACTGGGGCCATGATCAATTAAAATAAACCATATGAAGTCACCTTGGACTAGTTCAGTGTTTTGTAGGTCCTGGGTTCAGAAACATGTGAAAATATTATGGAAATAAAAACAGAGAGGAGGAATCCATACAAATGAATATGTTAAATCCATCCTAAACATACCCTACATTTTGACTGAAAAAATAATGTCAGTAGGAATTAAAATTGCAGGAGGTACATAAGAAATTAGTTTTATTAGATGGCTTCTTCCACAATATAAAATAGAGGTGAAAACAGACTCGTTAGATCAATTGTACATAAACAACAAGGGGATATTCACTCCACTACAATATTTATGTCATTTTCTATAGACTGTAAATATTGCAAATTCCAGAGTAAATTTAATGGCCATGTGTTACAAATATCAACTTTTTAAACAGTGTTCATCTTTTGCAGTTTAAATAGCATTCATCTTTTACAGCCTTTGTATTATTTATAAGATCTGAAGAATAAAACAGATATATTTACTCTCTCGACATTAAGATCCATTTTGCCAGGAATGGGAGTGGCAATTATTTGCACAAATCAGCCAAATGGATATCTAAATACAGATAAGTACCAGATCTGAGGCCAAAAATGACCGTATTGTTGTTCTGTAGAAGTCATATTTATTGAAGTAAATTTTAAAATAAATTTCAAATGTACTGAAAATCTGCTCTCACTATACTAGTGAAAACTGGTTAATAAACTGATGTGATAAAAATGTTGCAGGTTTGAAGGAAATAGAGTTATTCCGACACACAAGGAATCAAGTAAGAGCACACTTTGGATCAATATATTACAAAGTCACTGGTGCCGCTATTTACATATGACACCGAAACAAGACAAGGAAATCGCCCGTAGTTTATGTGGCTTCAAGCCTTTGCGATATGAAAATGTTGCGAAACGCATTTTTTGTCGTTATCCAGCTCATGCGTATGCGTTAATATCCTGTTCTCACATGCATCCAAACGGTAGGTCCCCCACAACTCACCACCCTACCTCATCGCAACGTCAAAGCTGGCTGGAAAGACTGCGTGCCGCGAGTTGAACGCTTGAGGGTCACACGCTTGACTTGCAGACCAGTCCAGCCATTTAGCAGCAGACTGAGGACGCGGAAGAGCTGGGAGGAAAACTATTCTGGATAGATGGAGCTGGGAGCCCTGTTCATGGCAGCAGCAGTACTGAGATAACAGGGAGACCAACATACGTTATCACCCCGAAGACTCTAGGAAAACGTCCAATAGACGCGTTCATCACCAATTCATAAAGCAAGTGGAGCGCTGTCTCATGCTGCAAAAGCAAGGCACGGGGCTAGGCTCTTCTCCCAGTTATACCAGTTCAGAGGCAGACTTATTCCCCTGACCCAAATCCAGTTACAACTCCCATGCCCGCCACAGACTCGAGGCCAAGACGGTTGTGACGGCAGGTCCCCACCGTAGCACTGGAGACCAAGAAGTAACAGGGTCCATCGCGGCTCCATTTTCAACCTGCGTTTACTACTGAACAGCAACCTCAGGGGATATAAACCAGACCTCTAGCGCGCACCTGAACGAGGCGTTGTTCAGCGGCGCCGCGCCACCGCTGCTCAGCTCCATTTTCTTCACCGCTGCTGGACC